ACCAAATCAGTTGAACAAAATAGGGTGGGTAGGATGTCAGGCATCAGCTTTTTACTGGTACTTTTCTGGTTAGGCCTGACCCTGTAGCTTCACGTACAATCTATGTGCAGGTTGGCTGACCTAGAATGACCATTCCTTGGTTCTGAATTATGTCTTGGTTTCTGGTTCCAGGAACCAAATAAGAATTTGTGATTTAAAAATGATCTACAAAATAGACATGCTGGGGGCGGGGGAAGAGGGGCCTGCCTTGCTTTTGTCTAAAGCTTGATGGTGTGCTGCCTTCTTACCAGATCAGTATTGGATCTCCCAGAATTAGAACAGCTGTTGGGCTTGACTTTGAGTGGAGCAGGAAGAATCTTTAATCATGGGCTAAAATACTACAGCTTGCTTGTTTGTCAGGAGTTGAGCTGAGTAACATTTGGGCAGAGCTAGTCTGAATGTTGTTCTTTCTCCCTCTGTGAAGGTGTGACCCCACACCATTTTTCTCCCACTTCTTGACTTCCTAAGTGCAGCAGACATCTAATGTAAAGCAATTGGGAGGCCTTTCTTGAAATCTCTTGATGGTTTTTATCCATCCTGAAGAAGCCAAAGGCACTTGGATGTAACTGCCATTTTGCAGGGCACCTGTAACTCTACTATATGTGTGCAAATCTGCTCCAACAGACTTGCTTGCTCTATGCTCTGGCCTGAAGCAGAAAGAAGTGGCTTCCAAGTCTTTATCGTGCCCTTGGCTTTCCCTAGCCCTAATTCTCACAATCCCTTTTCTCTCTCTTGCAGTATGATGGCATCATCCTTCCTGGCAAATGAGCAGTTCCTGTTACCAGAAAGACCCAATAAAATTTTCTAACTAACTTTCTGTTGGGGATTTTGTGGTTGGTGTTGTCTCCTCCTCCCCGTGCAAAGCTTGTGTGTGCTGGTGCTGCAGAGATGACTCGGTGTTGTGCACTGGAAATGGGAGTTGGTGTCCGTAAAAAGCAGATGTTGGGACCCTGGTATAAATGCAACTGCCTCTGCTGGCCAGCTGAGAATGATTGGTGAGACTTACAGCTAGGTCTTTGGATGCGAGAGGGGCAACCAGAAAGCTTAGCAGCAGAATTGAAGCAACATTTCTTGAAGCATTTAGGGTCTCGGCTGTAGTCCCAAGTAGGGACAAACTGAAACTCAACCTACGTACTCCAATTTCCAGAGCTCCCATGGTGTCCGGTGTAGCCAGGCAGGCAGATGTTAGTGTTGTTTAAGAAAGAAAGAGGGACTCCATTCCTACAGATGAGGTACTAGGCAGCTTCTTGACTCGTGGATTGAAATGCCACACTGAGGGCAAACACAGTGGAGATCAAATTCAACTGTGTGGGTTTGCATCTATTCAAGACTTGGTGATACCAACACAAGTAATTGTGTGTGGTTGAGGTCTGGTACTGGTGAGTGCCAGCCATTAGAAGCTTGTCAGCTGCCTGTTCTGCTACTGACCAAACCCTAATATGGGCTTCAAGGCCCACAGTGGTGACAAGATCCTAGAACAGTTGCAATGTGTCTGTCTCCCCAGACCTGAACTTTGGTGCTGTTGCCACTAGAGGGTACTGATGTTGCAGGTAAAGAACTAGCCAGTACTTATTGCAGCCAGACTAAGAATCCAGCATGGGCTACTTTAGCTGATGTGAAGACCAATGGCTAGAATGGTACTCACAGTCCAGCTCTCATACCTGTATCTGGCTCTGTCCTGGCATTCAGACAGGTCTTTCATGCTTGGGAGTAGAGAAATTGCTTTTGTGTTGCCTTTAAAATGTTAATGGCTTAACTTTCTCTTGGCTCTAAGCATTTCAAATGGCTATGGTAGCAGGTTCCCAATGCAAGAAGATATGGAGAAAGCAGCTCTGTGGTGATGACTATAACCAAGTTGCTCTTGCAAAGCAGTGCTAAATCTTTTATTCAATTTATGTAGATACATAATACCCCTTGGCACCACTCCATCATGCATGTAAGGTTCAGCAGTTGCTCTGACACCAGACTGCAGCTTTTCCAGCAACCTTTCCTGCCCCCAGCTTGAGAATACCTATAGTGTGGAAACTCATAGCCAAGTGGTAAATTGAACCCCTTTCTCCCAGACACACCATTGCATTCCAGAAGTGGGGGCTAGTATGATGGCTCAGTTCCTACAAAATTTAGAAGGTTCTCTCTTCCGTGTATCCTGGAAAGCATGTGGTTGCCACCAGTGCCCTGAGCCCCAGAGCTTGTGAAGATGGTCCTTTCTAAAGGACACGGAGTGGCATGTTCCATTGAGGTAAAACACACAAAGGAAAACTGGATTTACTATTTTTCAGTGAATTGTCCATCTATGGAGTTTCCATTGCCCTTGGATGCATTTATGCTCATAAGAATGACCTCTGACTAGAGTAATACAATCTGGTAGGGGAAATTGGTGCCTTGATAGCAAATTGAGGTGAAGTTTTTTTGGTGATATCTTTTAGACCCATTGTGCAGTTGGGAAAGATGCTAGACAGGCTTTCAAATATTAAAGAGCCTTTGTCAAGGCCCGTGACTAAGGGTACTTTATGCCTGAAAGCTTGTTTTAACTTTTTCCCCCCATCTACGTGGTTGGTTCAACAAAAAGATAGCACGAAAATCCTCATCCCTTACATACTTCCAGGACCATCACAGCTATAGATAGCAATGCTCCACCCTTTACTTGAATCATAACTTGCACTGAAACCTTTCACTCTCTGTCAGGCCCGAACGCCCAAGTAGGTTTTTCTGTGCTATGCTTCTGTCTGCTGTGCATTTCCCGTGTCACACTGGAGTAGTCCCAAAGCTGCAAAGGGCTTTGTGGCTTCACCCTGCCTGGGGAATAGACTTATGCATGAATGTGCCTCCTATCTGCCTGGTTGTATAAGCAGGACCAAGATGTTGGAGTACTTAGTTTGGAACCATTTTCCAGGGTCACTGTAACAGTAACAGCTGGAATTAAAAACTCCTAATTTCTGCCATGTGACAAGAGTTCGGTAACAGCCCAGGTCCTAGGATGGATACCAGGAAAGCAGCAGCAGTTGCGGTGCTGCACATCATGCCTTAACTACTGGCTCCAAGTTCCATTTGAGACCTACCATGCAATGGTACACAGTGGGAAGTTTCAGCTTGCTGTTCACATTTGCTTTGTGGTTCTCTGCTCTGGAGCCTTAGTGCTTCCTGCAGAATGCGAGCCAGGAGACCTTCAGCTTTCCTGCTTGTGGTAGGCAGCCAGCTTGTCTTCATAGATTGCTAGGTTATCGCAGAACTCAGGCTGACTAGAACAAAACCATGCCTGAGCCATCAGGGGCTTGTTATGGATGGATTATGTACACGTGCCTCTCCTTTCAGGCAGGTCCCATAGCACGTGTTCATAATGCACAGGCAATCTTAGCCCATGCTACAAATGTTCACATGGCCTTTTCTTCCCCTGCAGCTCTTGAACTCTCTCTGTTGGTGACCCCCTGCTTTCAAGATGGCAATGGAATCAGTGACTGAGGCTAAATATAAGCAGTGAGCATGAGGCTATAGCTATCCTGTATGAAGGTCTGGAACTGGACTTTCTGGTTCAGATTATCACGGCTGTTCATTCCCAGTGCAGCAAAAGGGTGTTTTTATTTTTATCCTTGTAAATACAGCTCTTTCTTTACTGTTTTAATTGCTTGGGGCTGTAGCAATTCCCTTTCACAGGTTCCCGGAGAAAGCCAGGAAGAATTGCTATGAGCCTCTAGCCTTAACTGCAGTATAACACTGACCAGAGGCCTTCCCTGGATTAAAACTTGTTTAAGCAATGGCAGATCTTAAAGGAAAAGTGACAATCTTGATTTAAAAATCACCAACAATGGTGAATCCACTGCAACTCTCCTTCCAGCTGTTAATGATCTTCTCTTAAAGAATGTGTCTTATTTTTAGTATGCATTTGTCTAGCTTCAAGTAATAAGGGAGAAGTGACTATTCTAGCTCTAAGAACATAAGAAATTCTAAACTGGGTCAGACCAACAGTCCATCTAGCCCAGTATCTTGTCACTGACAGTGGTCAGAGTGGAGGCTTTAAGAGGGAAAGCATGGAACGGGTTATCGAATGATCCATCCCTTGTTCATTACCCTCTCTGACATCTATCCTTTTTGGTTTAGAGATGCCTGAAGAAACATCTCCAGTGTCTTCCTTGTAGCAAATGTGACCCAGGTATCTACTGCCACTTTTACAAACACCACATCACTTTTCCTATCTCTGTGACTGAATTTCTCTCTGAATTACTCCAATTTATTTTTTTTTTTAAACCCAGCTCCAGAACCAGTAGCAAGTGCAAACCACCTGGGAATAAAAAAAAAAAAAAAAAAATCTTTCCTGCTTGTTTCAATGCCTTATGGTGATCTCTGTTTTCAAGCTAAGCAGCAGGAATTCAAACACAATGGGATGCACAGCCTGGGATACTGGCAGCCCAAAATATATTCTCCTAGAGCTCAAAACTTGCCTTGATTGACATTTGAAGAGACCTCAGAATAACTCCAAGCTTAGATGTGTGTGAGTGGTATTTTTCCCCCTTAACTCTGGACCCCTGCAAAGCTAAAGACCCCTAGTGAAATAATGAGTCTAAAGCAGGAAGAACCCCTCTTTTCCTCTTAGCTGTATACTAGGCTGTTATGTGTTGCCGTAGGCCGTCTAGGCCTCTCCCTTTGTGGCATCCTGACCCTGAGCGAGGATGAGGAAGGTAGCTTTGTTACTATGCCACCTGCCAGCGCCCAATGCACTTTATGGGAAGGAAAATGCTTTTATTAGTCTCCTGCAGTAGGGGAAACAGCAGAAGAGGAGGGTGAAGTGCTGTGCTAAGGTTGCACGGTAAGTCAGCGTCTGCTCGCAATGGGAGCTATGTTGCCTGACTGGTGGTTGGGCCATATTGCCTCCCTGCAGCATGACTGGAGGAATCCAAAGCAGAGAGGAGCCATTGCTTGAGGTCTCCAAGCTCTGGCAAGTGGGAATGAAAGGCTGTGCTCAGAGGGGAGCAAATCTGGTTTAAACACAACTGGACTGGGGGAAACCTCTATTCTAACCTGAGCACCTGCCTGGCTGCAAATCACTAGCGCATGTTCCAGGGAAACCTGATGCTCCAGCTCACGTCAAAGCTGTATCGAAGCTCTGCCAGCCCCAGCTGGAGCCATGCTCTGATATTTATCTATCTGATCCTGGCAGCAGGATCTGAATGTGCTTGTGTCAGTTTTGCTGACCTGCTCCCAGACCCTGCCAGCTCCCGTGGGTTGGAGGGGAGACAAAAATTGGACTGGGGATGGAAAGAGTTAGGTAGCCCTGGCCTGTGCTTGGTGACTCCATTGTGGCACTGTGCGCTGCCTAGCCAGGGGTTTGATTTGCTTGTTGGGCCATGGGCTGGTTTGTGACCGGGCTCTGGAGTCGGGCTGGAGCTGCCCCATGTCACTGAAAGGAAGCATGGCTTAGCCTGAGAGAGTAACTGTTCAACCAGTTGCCCAACCAGTGCCTTTATCACAGATCATGGGCCTTGGGGGTCATTCCAATTCTGCAGGCCTATGTATGGCTTGATGACATGAGGGTCACACATTGAGGGGGTTTCCCCTGGAAGGGGGCCTACAGCCTTGTCACCCACGTGGCAAAATGAGGTCCCAGCCCCTGGGCCACACATCCTCACTTGGATCCAGCACCCATTAGCTGGAGCAGGGATGGGAGAGCTTTGCAGCTGGGGGTGGGACTGAGTACAGAGTGGAGCCACGGGATGATCACAGGGAGATTTCCTTCAGTGCTCCTCTTGCCTTCTTGCTCCTCTGAAGGCATGGGCATGGGTCATCCCCATTTCCCTGAGGGTTCAGTGACCTGTCAAAGGCCACAAAAGGTGTTAATTTCTCAGCTGGGATGAGAATTCAGGCATTCCCAGCTCCTGGGACCCTATATCTATCCCCACCCTGTGCCCCCACTGCACCATCCCCCATGTGATGGTTCTTGTCCTCATGCACCCTGATCGCAGCTGCCCTACAATCTGAGGCAAGGCTTGAGCTCTAGTCTCTGTCCTGGGCTGCAGGCAGGAAGTGCCAGCCCCCCAGTTGCCCTATTAGATGCTGACTGCTGCTGAAGCAACAGAGCTGGCTCGGGACCCCTTGCTCTGAAGGGATGGGAGGGTGATGGTGCAGCAGGACACACCCACAGTGGCCTCAGGGAGGTCCTCATCATCGGCCCACTCATCCTGGTCCGGGTGATAGCATTGCACGCGCTTCTGGTACTTCTTCCCGCTCTCGTTCCAGCCTCCCACGAGGTAGATGCGCCCATCAAGGATGGTCACCCCTGCTGGGCTGACCCCAATGGGCACCGGTGCCATGTAGCTCCACTGACCCGTGTGGGGGCTGTAGCACTCCACTGGGATCACGTCCACACGCTCCCCACGGGTGCCCAGCTGGCTGCCCCCCAGCACATAGGCATGGTCAGCCAGTGTGGCAGCACAGTGCCAGCCCCTGGGTGTGCCCAGCCCAGCCTGGTCTCTCCAGGCATCAGTGCTGGGCTCATAGCTGCACACGGTGCGGGAATAGGCATGGTGGATATAGCCACCAGTGACAAGGATCTTGTTGTCGATGACCGTGCTGGCATGGCAGCAGCGAGGCAGCTCCATGCCGGCCTGGCCATGCCAGCTGTTGGTAGAAGGCACGTAGCATTCAATGGAGGCCAGGACACCATCTGTGTTGCGCCCGCCGATGGCATAGAGGAGCCCGTTGTAGGCACTGAGGCTGAAGTGTGTCCTCTTTTGCATCATGCTGGCCAGGTGCAGCCAAGTGTTGAAGCGGGGATCGTACCTGCAGAGAAGGGGGAGAGGGGCCTTGAGTCTACATGCCCCCAGGCTCAGGCCTGCTCAAAGCCTGGGAACACCAAAGACTTCATTCTTACACTTCCAAGCCATTAGCTTGGACTATAAGTGACCCTCAGGCATCTCTCACAACTCAGGTCTCCCAGCATCAAAACTACCCCTGGGATCTTGGTGGAGCAGCCACAAGGAGCACAGAGCTGAGAACCTGGTCATCCCCTCTTGCCCTGGCAGGGCACGTTCCTGCCACGACAGCCTCAGCCCATCCCAGTAGATGGGACTGGAAAGCAACCCAGAGCAGAGCCTGGCTCGTGGTAGAAAGGCTAGAAACAGATCGGAGGAGGTCTGCCAGCAGGGACCCAGAGGCCTGTCTCAGCACAAAGACCAGGGCAGCCCTGGTGCTATTGGGAGGGCAGTGGAACTGAATGACCTGGGCAAGGCAAGTTCAGACCACCTGCCCCTGGCATGGATTTTGTCTGTGACTGGGCCTGGGACAAGCCTGCCCTTTCCATCCTGAGTTTCATAGTTTCATAGTTGTAGCCCCTCCTGGCAGGACCCCCTGCCCTTGACCTAGAAGAAGCCCTTCCTATTCGGTTTCCTGACCTCATCCACTATAGAGGGGTTCTCCCATCACCCTTGTCACCATTACTGCAGTGAGTGATGGGGACCATCCCCAGGCAGGGACCAGCTTTTGGTTCTGCATGTATATGCCTCACATAATAGGGCTGGGTCTATGACTGGATGACCCTTAGAACTGTATCTCTGCCCCCTGAGTTTGTTCTCTCCCCCTCTCCCAGCACAGGCTGATTGGGAGGTTGCCCCTTCTTGCCAGAGGGTTTTGTGATTTGAGGGAAAAAGTTCCTCAAGGGTTGGGCTGAAAGCAACCCACTCATGCTGCTCTGGAACATAAGCACAGATTGCAGGGAAACAAAAGGCTGATTCGTTAGCTGCACTCATTCTCCATTGTAGCATCAGAGCCCTTAACTGGGAATTTTGGAAGGCAAGAGCAGTATCAATTGGGCACCTAAAGAAATACAACCTTTAATGTTGTCACGGCTACCTGTCTCCTCTGTTGTTAATAATGATGTTTGCATGGTCCCATCACAGGTTTCATGAGAACTTTCTGAGCAACAAACCCCACCACTTCATCTGGCAAGTAAAGGAAGGGCAGAAAAGAAAAGGGAAGAGGAAAAATATAGCAACTGTCCTGAGAGTGAAACTCTCTTGTGTTTAATTAATTCAGCTCAGTTGGAAATCAGGTACAGAATGCAAACTGAGAAGTTCTTCTGACAGGTCTAAGCAATCTCCAGCCTGAAGAGAAATGTTATCCTTCTACATGCATGCAAAAGTTGAGAGTAATTCACTGTCTGACTAACTGGCAATAGTGTTATTTGTACAGGCTTCAGCTGAGATCAGGATTGCATTGTGCTACATGCTTCATAGTCAGAGACTGCACCACAGAACTGAGGACCAGGCAAGAAAGGCAAGGGGCAGGAAAGAAAACAGCGACAAAGTGACTTGCCAGGGTCAAACAGCAGGTCAGTGGTAGAGATGGGAATCAATCCCAGGTCTTCTGACTTCTAGTCCAGAGCCATCACCACTGGCCAGCTCTGCTTCTCTAACAGCACAATCCCAAATGTGACCACGTTTACCTCTACCTGCTCCCCTAGCTGGGTGGTCACTGCATGTTTCTGACTGGTTTATCCCTTAATTTCCTCTTGCTCGTTTATCTCTATGGAAAATGTGCTTGGAGAACACTGCTGGAAGATACCGTGATTTACTCTGTAGTCTCCCAGGCAGCTAGCTCTCAGGATTATAACACCCTACAGGTCATTCACATCAAAAGGAGTTTTCTCCTCCAGCTCATGGGATAGGGGCCTGTGCTCCAGATTCCAGAGTCAGTCTTTGCTGATGCCTGCAACAGGTCTGCATTCAGCCATGGGCTTGGAAAACAATAAAGTCCCCTAAGAACTACCCCACCTTTTGGAAACTCTTGTTACCTGCACAGACTGCTGACGGCATGTTTGGCCTGATTCCTAGCATCATTTTGGTCTTCCCCTCCTGCCACGTAGAGGAACCCGTCCATCACAACCATGCACTGGTTGAAACTTTTGGCTGGCATCTCAGCCAGCTTGTTCCAGTTCCCTTCTGCGTCCCTGTAGCTAATCTCTCTGCTAAGAGCTTTCTCAGTCAAAGCCGGGCGGCCTCCAACAGTGACCAACACTCTCTGGCCTCCACGGATCCTGGTTCTTCTGGACTGAAGGGTATTTTGCTGATAAGGGAGCAAATGATAATTCATAGCATCCACTAGCAGCTTGTGGCACTCAGGATCTTGCATCATACGTGGCACAGGCTGGACACAGTTGACCAAATCAGGAGCTGATATGGTGCCAAATCGTATGTTGCCCAGGAGGTCAGCAGCATACTGGACTCGTTTGGAGTCATACTCAAGCCATTTCACAGCAATCTGGAAGGCGATGACCTCACTCGGGATATGTAGCTCGTCATCCATCAGCAGCTCATTGAGCTGATCGAAGGTGAGTTTTATGAATTGATCGGTCTCTGAGAACTCCAGGAAGTTCTCCCGGATAAATTTCTGGGTGGCGTCCTTCGCCTGGTTGAGGTTGTATGTGGCCGAGATGTTGGCAATGTACATGCAGTTCTCCACATTCATCTCCTGGATGAGGAAGTCACTGCACATGCTGAGCAGAGTGTGCATCTGCAGGTGGCTGGCAGTGGAGATGGTGCTGCCAATGGTGTAGAGGGACAGGCTTAGCTTCCCGGTGTAGGCATACGTGAGGATGGTGGTCAAGCCCAGAGGGGAGATGTCGTTGAGTTCCACCCGCTGCAGGCTGGGATCTCTCTTCAGCAAGCTGCGGAAATACTCGCTGCAGGACACCACGACCAGTTTATGAACATCAAAGGCCTTGGTTTTGGTGACGATTGTGAGGTCACAGAGGAACCGCTCCTGGCGCATTTGAGTCATCTCATCCAGCAGGCTGGCACCGTGGCTTGGGTTTGTGACCTCTGTGGCAGTGCAGCGGAAGCCATTGGAGCCATTTTCATACAGATCATTGAGGTGGTTCAGGTGGTCGATATCCAGTGACGTGTCCTCCACCACTACGGGGGCAATGGGTGCCTCCCCTTTCTCTGTTTTGGTCTTCTTGGGGTTTTTCTTCTTGGGTGCCATCTTGATGGGAGTGGTGGTCTGTAAGAACAGGAATAGTTAGGAGCTGTTGCAGTGAGATGCACCATAGATACCCTGCTGCTGTGTACAAGTGACTGTTAAACAGCATATATGCTACAAGAAATGGCAGGGTGGATCTGCAGTCTGACCCAAAGCTGCTGAAGTCAGTGGAGAGACTCCCCTTGATGTCAATACACTGAGGATCAGGCCTGGTGAACAGAATGGAAGCTCTTTGCCAAAAGTCACTCACTTTTTTTTTTATTTACCTAAATCCAGTGGATTGAGGCCCAGAGCTGGGAGTCAGGAGACCTTGGTTCTACCCCAGACCTGGACACTCACTTGCTAATTCAGGGCAAGTTACCTACACCTACATCTTCAACTAATTTGGGGTCCCTCCATTGAGGGGAACCCACCTTCAAACACCTAAAAACAGACAGTAATTTTGAGTGCCCAGTCCAGAGTGCCTCAAGTTGGACGCCCCAAATCAGTGGCTTCAGCAGAACACTGAGGCCTGAACTTTTCTGTGCCTCCTTTTACAAGAGGGGCTTGTAGCACTTACAACCTTCGCTGAGTCAATGAGAAATGGAGCAAACGCTTACAGCTCACTTTGAACGCACTGGTGGGCTGTCACTGCAGAACTACCGCAGTTTTGATTATTCCAATTCAGTGCAGGAATAGACTTGAACACATCACAGTCGATACTGCAGAAACATTTGGAGGCTATTTTTTTCCCATTTTAGTAGTAGTGCCTGGGCTCTCAAGTTGTGGACCTGCCTTAGGACAGACAGCCCACAGCTGGTAGGTGACAGAACCAAGCTGCTAGACCACATTCCCCTGCCAGGGTAAGAGCAAACACATGCACCCACAAAAACACCTTGGAATTGTACCCGCAGTAAAATGTTGCCTGAACGCTCATTCGAAACACCACGGCTGTCCCCTGACTATTTCTGTCCAGTGGAGAGACTCATATGCTTGAGTAGCACATGTGCTGCTCACCAGAAATAGCTGCTGCGTCTCTGTCTCACATATCTTCAGGCTGTTTATTGCACTGGCATGTAAAGATTGGGTTTCTGGAGAGCTGAGTAATCAGCTCCTATTTAGAAGGAGGCAGGGGGAGGTGAGAGATGGGCACTCCACTCCCCCAGGCAGATCAGGATTCAACACGCAGTTAGAGAGGGGAAAGCCTAGCAACAGACTCTGCTGGGAAAGAGAAGGCTGAGCTGACAGCAGGGAGGGTGGGGAAGTGATGGGGTGGGGACTGTGCTCACATCTGGGGCAGGTGGAACAGAAATGTGAAGGAGGTGGAGCTCTCCCTCTGTCCCCTCACCTGCTTCTGAATTCCCTAAGGCAGATGCAGAGGGCAGCAGGGGAAGGTCCCATGTGAGTAAGCCCTCCTTCCTGCTGCTATAAGGTGGGTTTGGTAGCGGAGGCTGCAGGGAAGGGAGCAGATTTGCCTCTTCCAAGTGCCCAGAAGAAAGTCATTTGGGCAGCTCTGACTTTAACAGCATTCAAATTCAAACTCATGGGTCACTAAGCGAGCCTGCTACACAGCTGCTGTGTGCACACCCTCTGGGCAGCAAAATCCCCATATGAAGTCCATGGAAGATTTACTGTTAACTTTTACTGGTCCAGGGCTTGCCCTGAGATGGTTAGCCTTTCCACTCACCCTGAGGCTGGTGGGGGGGGCTGATCCTTCCCCGTTTGATTTCAGTCATTGCCACACATTGGTTCATCACAGTAAAAAACATTTTGATTAGACTCTATTGGTTTGGTCCATTTTGTTTGGACTTCTGTGTGATATCATTCAGTTGAATATTGCATTATGTTTATGTATGTAATGCAACACATATATAAAGTTTTATATATATATATATAGTAATGTATATTATGTAATATATAATGCTACATATAAGTGTTAGCTATAACATTATATTATGCATTATATTGTATACAATGCAAAAAATAGAATGCATTAATATATATAATGTTACACATTACGTCTTGTGATATGTATTAATAATGATATGTATTATGTATAGACATGAGACAATGGACTGTCATTGAATCATTTTATTATACCAGTCTGCATGGGCGACTGGTGCCGCCTTAGTCGGGGGGACACATGCACCCCCAGCAACCAGTCAGCAACTGGGGGGCTCCCCCATGGCTGATCGTGTCAACTGGGGGGGTCCTCCTGCGGCCAATCACTCCCCTGCCGGCGCTCACAGGGAGGGGCACTAGCACTCCCACCTGCCCCCCTGCCTGTCGCCTGAGCAGGGAGCACGGCCTGTCAGGCGGTGCACCAGTGCTCTTAGTGGGTGCACGTGCACCCCTGTGCACCCCCTACACGTTGCCACTGCCAGTCTGGAAGGGAAATGGTCTTTCCTTCTCAGAACAAGGTGTTTGATGGTTCCCAATAGATGCTTTCCAGATGTTCTGTTCTAGGGGGAACAGAGGCATTTTAGCTTTCATTCTAATTTTGGAGCATCTCCAACACGTCAAATGTTGGCCGGTCTTCAGGACCAGAAGCTCTGTATTCTGATCTGCTCCCCCCAGCATCTGGAGCCTTGGACACTGCCCACTGAGGCAGTGGGCTGTGTACCTCTCTTTCTTGTTGGCAGAAATTAAAGCGCATCAAGATTTAACCCTGCAGTAACTTGCATTTCCCAGCTCATGTCATACTGAGTCATGGTTCCAGCGTACCCCAACGTGCTGCACTCCCAGCCCAGGGTCTCTCACCTAGCTGTTACAAATCATTGTAGCCTCCTGAAGGACATCAGGTTAAGCCAAGAAGTACCAGCTGAGGGAGTGGTCCTGTCATTTTGGCTAAAAGCTGCTTTGTAGTAAAGGAGCCTTGAAAAATGCTTCTGGTTCAAAATGGGCTTGGAATGAGTCCCAGTGGCACAACCCATGATGCTCACACATGGTGTCAGTGCTCACAGTACTTGCTCAGAGCGTTCCCTTCAAGTATCCCATATTCCTGGGCCTGGCTTTTCCATCATACATCATTTGGGGCAAGGGCTGCTTTTGGTTTTATCCCCTTGTCTGCACTAAACAAATCAATGCAGCTGCTCCCCAGATGGGAGCCCAGTTTGGCCATCTCTGCCAAGGAGTCAAGGACTGGACTCTCCTTTCACCCTGAAAGGCTGTCCCCCCTACATCAGAAGCCAAACTCATGGACAGGGTGAAGTGGGGGAAGCTGCTGCTATTCTGTAGCACCCACTATCTGAGCACCTTCTGTGGAGTCTGTTGCCCTTCCTGAGCCATCCCTGCCCCCATGTGGGTACAGTCCCCATTGCTCAAAGCTGCAAAGCCAGCTAAACACATGAATGACCTGGCAGGGGAAATACCATGATCACCACGGTGGTTTTCCTAGGGGCAGGGGATAATCACATTTCTGGCATGGGGTAGTAGCTGTGGGAAGATCTTGGCTTTATGCCCACTTTATGGAAAAGGAAGACTGCTCCCTAGCTTGCTCCTGGGGCCCATATGGCTGAGGGCAAAAGAAACTTGGGGGCATCCACACCCCAAGCCTCCGGGCTTGGGCCTGCACGTAGGACACCTACCAAAGGGTTTGGAAACACCTGAAGCCCCAGGTCGGGTGGAGGATGTTTGCTAGTAGTAGGACTACTTGTGGTTCTGGACTGACTCATGGATTTCAAATTGATTTGGATTGGAACACGAAACATTCTCTTAAAAAAAAATAGCTGGAAGCTGGGGTTACCCCTGACAGTGCGTGGGAGCAGAGCAGGGGACTGAATATGTGCCTTTGCTCAAACCCACCTGGATGAGCTGCATGAGAACAATACTCAGGCCTCTTCCTGACCAGCATTTGAAACACAGCAGAAGAGCTGACTCACAGCCCTGGGCCAGGTTTCCCAGACAGCGTGGCATCCAACATGCGCTTTGGAAGCTCCAGCTCCAGAAGCCTTGTTCATTCCTTCCCACCTGCTCACTCCTTCTCCATTATCAGGATCACGCATCGACTTCTCCTTTGACAGATTCGATTTGTACTAAGACATACCTGGTGCGGCCAGGGGCAATATATGCCCCATATATCATCCCTGGGGTGACGCCACTGCCTTACATGATTTATATCCAGAGATTAATTTGGCCCAGTTTCCTTCAGATTTATCCTATCCCATTGTTGCATTGTATTTAAATTAGAGGGAGAATGAACTTTACCATCTACCTTCACTGGCCTGGTTTTGCTAGTTAATCTCCCTTGTTCCTACATATCTCTAATGAAACACATTGCTGGTAAGGTACCTAAGGTCTTGTCTGCACTGGGAAGTTATTTTAGGGTAAGGGAGGCTAAGAATATAAAACACTAGAGTCACTGCGGAATACCTGCCGGTGTAGACCCTGCAGGTGTTCACACAGGGACTGATTCCAGAAGACCTATAGCTGTTCCACTCTCAGCTTCCCCTTGCATAACATGCCTAAGTCCCAAGCCCTCCAGAGCTAACTGTGTGTGGAGGGAATGAGCTATGTTTGAAGCGCATTAAACTTGGAGCAGGTTGCCTAAGGCTGGGGTTTGCAAAGGGACCTCAAGAAAGCTCGGGCCCTGGTTTCTGTTGAATGTGCATGGCTATGGCTGCTTTCCTCTGTTAGACCCCTTTGGAAAATCCCAGATGAAAAATGTGCATTAATGCCGATAAGGTACCTAAGTGCAAAATGACCTTTGCTAAAAACAGCTCATTTAATATGGGGCAGCTTTGCTGTTTCTGATCACAGTATCCACTATATGAAAGGGAATATCTTTCATGCAGACTAATCCCCAGGAAGCAAAGCTCGAATGGTTTGATGAGATTTCAAAGGGCGCAGACAGCAAAGTAAGATGCAAGGATTGTTCTGTGTAAACTTTCAAAAGAGTCAGTAATTCTCCCCTCCCGGCTCAGTCCTGCTTATCTCATCTCTGCACCAGTATGATGACGAGCTAAGCACGGTGCCAAGCAAACAGCAAAGATTAATCCGTGCTTGGTGAAATTATACCCATCAGTATTTGATATATGGATTATTTTCTTTGATGTCTCATCAAACAGTCTTAATTAGTATTAAAACAACTGAGCCCTTCAAGTGCTGTGGAAACACAAAACGGTGTGAGCTGAAAAATAAACACAGACCTTTCCTGGAAAAAGATTTGGAAGCTAAATCTCCAGGTTCTTTCACCTTCAGTAAACTGTCTTCTGTTCCACCTTCTTTAAAAAAATAAAGACAAACAAAGGTACTTTCCCCATGCCAGCATTCTCCATTTGCAATCAAATGAAACATTCTGGTGACCTGAACAAGACAATCTCTCTGTAAATACTGAAGCACAAAAGGGCCAGCTCTGGGTTTTTAGTTTAATTTAGAGATAGAAGCTCTCTTTGCTCCTTACCTTGATGTTAAGACTGGTCAGTCCAGGGGGGGCTGTGGCTAGGACAGAGCCTGTGTGCTCTGCTGGTGAACAGACTGCAAGACCCTCAACTTTCCACATGCAACATCCTCCCCCTTGTCAGGGCAGGCCAGCTGACTGCTCTTATCACAGCAACATTTACATCAACCTTCTGGTGGTGACGCAGGGACAGCTGTCCTCGGCAGAGACTGGAGAGACCTGGAAAGGGATAGGCTAAGGGAGTGGGGGAGCTCTGTACCAGCCAAATGCATCTGTACCACTTCTGCCAATATCTCGAGGTAGCAATAAACAGCAGCGTGTTCTCTAATCTTCCACCAACCATGACAGCAAGCGAATGGCGAGGCAGCCAAAGGCACCTGATACAGGAGAGAGGTTGTTTGAGGACAGGTTGGGAGGGAGAACGGGATAGCCCAATCATTAGGAAAGGGGTGAAGAAAAATCAATCAGCCACTCTGTCATAGTCTACGCGGTGCGGCTGAACCTGCCAGGTGCCCAGCATCGCTGTTCTTAATAACATGCACAGCAGACCCACCACACCCGACACAGAACAGAGGTGCTGTGCGCCTCTAGGAACTCGCACTCAGAGTGAAATTAGCCTCTGGCAACTGTTTAAGTGAAACTCCCACTTTGCGCACGCCTTTCCCCCGAGCATGTTCCAGCAGGTTCAGAGCAAACAGGGAAAAGACACAAAGAGAAACGAGATTCCCAAGTCAAACGGGGGCTCCCTGGAAAATGTGCATGCACTTTTCTCAGCTCTAGATCAGAGAATGTGTTCCTCACTGGAAGCTGGGAAAGTCCCGTGGGTTGAGTTCCACCCCCGTGCTGGGCTCAGCTGTGAAATCCAGGCAGCACTTACAACATACGGGAGCCTATTTAGAGAGTTCAAGTGCTCCTTAGGTATTGTGCTGGCCAGATGCACAATGGTGATTTTTCACCCTTTTAGATGAATGAGTCGAGTAGACACATTGGCAGAGAACAAGAGCCCAGAGTGTCCTTTTTTCCAATGATCAGCCCTTCACTTTGTCATCAAAGGCAGCAAATATTGTTGGGAATATTTATACTCAGGGATATTTTAATTCTAATTGCCTCCAATTTATTTTTCGCACCACATTCCTCAACATGCTACAATAACCACATCAGTTAATTTGTAATTAAGTTACACTGCTCATGAGGATTAACACCCAGAGGGGAAAAATACAGGAAAAATATCCAACACGATTGTGAAATTCAGTTTCATCTGGTACCCCAACTATTAAAAGACCTAGGGGAAGGCATCTATTGATCAGATGAATGACATTTGGGAACAGCCTGGCTACAAGAGAAGGGTTTCAAGGTCCTGGCTATGAACTCACCAGTTTCAAGGTCCTACACTCACCCTCCTCTGTCATCGTGCTGTTGTGCTGAGCCATGGTGAAGCCATTTGGGTTTCTTACATTGCATTTCTTACTTTGCGTGGTTTGATGGTGTTTCACCATCACCTACAGTCTGAACCACCTGTGTTTGTCATCCATGATTTTGTAATAATTGCATTGTTCCTGCCCTGTTTCATCACCCTTTAAAGCTTTGTCTAGGAATGGCACTGGAGGCCCAGAGCAGTGATGCCTACCATCCTGAAGCACTCTCCTCCCCGCCCTCTGCGTCAGGCCTCGTGGGCTGCCATGTGATGCCAGCGGGCATGCTCAGCTGGTACGTGGCATTGAGGGATCGGGGCCCAAATGCCACGATCTCTGTTGCCAGGTATGTGGATTTCTGTGCCCAGCGTCCAGGTGCATCCATGTGCTGTATTCGCTGCATCGGACCTCATGGGCTGCTGTGCAACACAAGCAGGTGTAGTCGTCTGGTATGTGGCATTGCGGGATCGGACCCCAAATGCCATGTTCTCTGTTGCTGGGTATGTGGATTTCCGTGCCCAGCGTCCAGGTGCATCGGTGTGCTGTATTTGCTGTGTTTGGCTGAGTGCGTCAGCCCCAGATCCAACATGCGCAGGCTCCCCCATGGTGTGGGGCGAGAAGGGGAAGACGTGCACCTTGGTGTATGGCAGCCAGGCATATTGGGCAGGGTGTGAAGACACAGGGCTGCGGCATGCACCCTGGTACTCCAGAGTCTTTAAGGCCTGGGACCTGTCTTCACTGGCCTTAGAGGAAGACAGGGAACGGGCCTCACTCTGTCTAGCAAAAGAGGGCACTGGCTCTGACTGAACCCTCTTGCCAGCACTCAAGATGGCAATTGCCTCCAATCCCAGCAGCTTCTTGCCAGCACCCAAGATGACAAAAGGGTCCTTCCAGCCTTCGCCGTTTGCCAGGACCCAAGATGGCGCCCCGTTGTTGTTGACCACCCCGGGGGAGGAGGAGGAGGGGTTTCCGTTTCCTGCCAGGAGCCAAGATGGCGCCGAGCTGCGGGAAACCCAGTGTTGGCCAGCGGGCGGTGAAGCCGCTTCCGGCGTGGAGGCTTGTCCAGCAGTAAAAATGGCGGAGTCGGTGCTGGAAGTTGTGGGCAAGCTGCAGTCGCGACTCTCGGGCAATTCGGAGCCGAAGAAGGTAGCGGCGCGGGCCGGGCGGGCCGGGGGCCCCGCTCCAGCTGCCCCCTGCTGCCATCGCGGCGCTGGGCGGCCCGTGAGGGGCGGGGAGCCGGGCTTTGCTCTGAGGGGTAGGCCCGGGGGGGATCCCCGTGCTGAAATGGGCACCCGAGGAGCAGACCGGGCCGAGGGGGAGCGGGGCTTGAGCCTGGGGGGCGACCTACAGCACCACCGTGCCCCCGGGGAGCTGCCTCTGGCCCTCCAGGTCTGCCCTGCCGGGCCCCAGCCCTGCGGCCGAGACCCCTGGGAAGGGAGCGCACCCCCCATGGTGGGGCTGGCACCGAGGGCCTGGGGAGGCTCCTTCTCCAAGCCAGCGGCAGCGGGGGATACCCCGTGCCCCCGCACAGCTTTCTCTGCCCATGGCAGGGCTGTCCTTTCAGGAGAGAGCTGCCCCGGTCTAATTCTGGTTCCGCGTTGGCCTGGGGGAATCTTTCCAGCTGGCAGGTGACTGACAGCTGTCATTGGCGTGGGTTGCAGCTGAAGCAGCCCCGCGTGTGGCTGGCGGTGGTGTGCACTGGTGGGCAAGCTCTGGGGAGAGCCAGGTCAGCGGCGTCCCTCCAACGGAGACGCGTTTCTGGGTCTGTCCCAGTAAATTCGGGGCTGGGGCCTGCACGGCAGATGTGCATCTCTCCTGCCACACATCTACGTAAAATCTACGTTTTTAATCTTTTCTTATTGTTTTCCAACTCCAGCTGTTAGAGTAGTTGAGATGAATTTGGTTGCTCTGTGTGGACACCCGATGAGTCCGCTCAATGGTGGAGTGGACTGGATTTCAGCTAATCAGTGAGAGAAACAGTGGGGCAGCCTTAACTCTGGAGCGGGTGAACTGCCCCGTGGGTGCGAACTGGGGCACTCGGCTGCTGTTGACAATTGAAATAAGTGTGGGCTCTTTATCCGCTTGTGTAGAAGAGGAGGAGGGTTGTGTTACGAGCTCTCTGCAATCTAGTATGAATGACTGCTTGTTTTGGTACCTCCCAGGCTTCAGAGGGGACAGCCCATTTGTCCTCACTGCTCAGTCAAGGAGTCTCGCCAAGCCCCAAGGGACAGTTGGTGCCCTAAACAGGAGTTAGGCTCAAGAGGCTGAGTGAAATGTGTGACATTACTTGAGAGGAAGCTAAGCATGAGAAGCCTGGGATACATTACGGGGCTGGAGGGTAGGTCACCCCTGGCACGGGTGCCAGAGTGTGGCACGTGAAGGCATTTTACTTGGCGCAGACGGCAGAGAAGGGGCCAGGGTTGCACTGCCACAGCAAGGATCGGGCCCCTTGCAGTCGGCCCCTGGCACGCCATCTTATGAATTGAGGTTGCAGGTGTTTTTGGCGCTCTGCCCAAAAACATTGCCGACCCTTGGGCCAGGGATTTGAGAAAGGTGCATCTGATGTTTTGAACATCTACCCAGTCTATTATCTAGAGGGTTTCATGTGCAATACCAGTGTATGCAATCCCTTCTCCCCCAAACTCTAGTCTACCCCCTACATAAATTCAGGGTGATATTTATGTACCTGCATCCTAATGATATGGTCACTCTTTGGTTGGGTTTTACACTGTGTTTCTTATCTTATAGGCACTATACAGCAGCGGTTCCCAAAATCTGACAGATTGCACACCACCAATTTAAAATGATACAACCTTAAGTACCACCAGCAAATCTTTGTCATATAAAGTAATTATAATAAATCTGTTAATGCATGCCACTGGCAGGTCGTCTGCATACCCCTGGTGGTACCCGTACCACAGATTGGGAACTGCTGCTGTACAGTATCAATAACTATTTATGATTACCCCTGGCTGTTTGATTGTGCAAGTATATCGGAGGGCTTTGTTTTCTTTATTTAAAGAAGTGCAAGAAGTTATGAGCTCTTTCCAAACCTCCTTTTTGCAGGAGTGAGATGTCCCAATTTTACCTTTTTTTTTAATTTTTGAATACTTTTTGAATGAAAATCAGAGAGCTGCTAGTGTTCCTAGGCCCAGATTTAGACTGTAGTGTACTGGAGCTTAGACCTCTTTTGTATGTAGTTGTCAGTTTAAAAAATGACATGTCGTGGGTTTCTGCTTTTGTGTTATAAACTTTGGAGCTTCAGCATGCTGGTAACATTCATCGTCAAACCCCTTCCAGAAAGCATGATGACTATTTTAGAGAAACTGGGTGCAATAGGGGCTGAGACAATTGTCCAGCTCAAGGTTTTTAGGACTTTCTTTGGAATTGGAAGCATCTCATTACTGGCTGCTGGGTCAACTTATCTAGAATCTGGAAATAATAATGTTTCCTCCCTTTCCCGCCCCCCACTTTGTAAAATTAATTGGGTTCCACTGCTAGAAAATGTTAGGTATTAATATTATGCTGGCTGGCACACAGCTCTGTGAGGGAAAACTTTGGATGTGCTGTCATGGGTTGGAAACTCATATTTTCCATTGGAGGAGGTGCAAAATCTTAGCTGAATACTTCAGTCCTGCTTGTTTTCTTTGTGTGTGCATGTGTTTGTGGGAGGGGGTAATGGGATATGTAAGCAACATAGCATCCTCATTAAGACGATGGGATCAGGCCATGATGTGGTTGCTTGATAGTAACATGCTCTTCAAAAACATCATTTAAAGAAAAAATTGTTAAAAGAGGCATTCCTGATTTACAAACAGCAAACATCTGCCAGTTAAGGGGTGGCTGTCAGTTGGGTGAAGCTCAACTTCCTTTTTATTTATTTATTTATTTATTGTTTAAAATGGGGATCAAATCCCAAAGCTCTCTATACTGGAGTGTGTATATATGCATATATAATACATGCGTGCGTGCACACTGCAAGTATGGGCTACTGGAGTGTGCATATATCACGCGTGTGCACACCATTGCAGGTTTGAGATACTGGAGTGTGTGTATATGCAGATATCACCCCCTCCCCCCCCCCCCCC